CATGAATAACAATTAATCTGTTATAACTGATGTTCAGTTGAACTGAGGGGAAGACTGGTAGCTAGCAGAAAGTAAGTGAGTCATAGTCACCCCGAAAATCGATTTAGTGCTGGACACTAGTAAAAACAACAGTAGCCTTTCTTCTCTATGGTGCTACAGTAAATGCAGATTTTTTTTCTTTTTGAAAGTTTCGGCTTTTATTGTCATTGTTTTCTATGGGATGGTTGATGGTTTATGTGATTTGTGGTTTCTGTTTTTCTTTGAGTGGCGTGTTTGAGTCCAGCTCTGTGCTGCTGCAGTCCAGTCAGTAAAGAGGAAGTGTAGAGTATAGAGGTAGATATCTTTATTTTGATCCTTACCTGTCTTTACCATCAGTGAAAGGCTTTAAAAAAAAAAGCGCACTGGTGCCAGTAATGACTGCATGTGCCTCACATTTTCTCTTCCCCCTGCTGAGAGAACCAGAGGATTAAGCCAAATGACAAAGGCCAAGAGGATGTGTCTGTCAGGGATGAATGAGGTGATGAGGTCTGGGATGTGGTCCTGGTGGGGGATACCAGCAGCTTGTGTTGAGCTTTGAAACTTCTCAGAATATCCCGCTGTTTCTCCTCATCCTGCCCCTTCTGCTTCCCCCGTCAAGATTTCCTGTTAAAACAGTAAAGGAAGAAGAACACTGGCTCATCATCTTATATTTCTTCTTATATGCCTCTCTGTCAAATCTTGAAAACTACAGAAACTCAGTTTGGTACAGAAAATACAAAAAAAAAAAGAAGAAAAGAACAAGTGACTGAAGCCACAACATTACACTACTGTGATCATACTGAAACATGATATTTTACAAATCATCTTAAATGAAATAACTGTTAGTGATTTCTAGGTTTGTTTTTGTAATTTGAAATAAGATGTGTTCCACTGTATCTGTGGAGCACAGCGTTCCCTATAAAGTATATTGATTTTCAACCAGTGCTATATTTTTTATATTTCATCTTATTGATTCAGACATCCTCCCACCTGATAACATCCACTGCAATAACATGTGTTCTGCTGCAAGACAGGATGTACATCATCATTGCATAATGTTCACACCTCTCCCAGATCAGCTGTTCTAAACCTTACAAGGTTACACTGTGAATGGGAAATGATATGTGAAGGTACAGCAGCAGCCTTATCCCTCTTCACTCTTGTATGCACGGATGTGAGACTCTTTGTTCTGTGCCCAGTCTTACAAGAGCAGTTGAATATATAGCAGGTATTATAGTATTATGCATACAGGTAAGTAAGTTCTCCCTCCCACAGATGTGCATTGCTATTCAATTCAGCAAAGCATAGACATCAGCGATTGAGGGCAAAGCACTCTTCAAGTAGCCCTGACACCCATGGGTCGCTAGATATGCCCATAGTTATTACCTCAGCAGCGCTTCACAGCATTATGTAACTTCCTGAGGGATGCATGGGTCAGGAGAACAAATGTTTGTATGTCTTTTCCATTTAACGGATTGGTAGTCCTCAGATTATGACTCCTAATGACTGTTAATGCTAAAGCTTGTTTTCTGACCCAAATGCAGACACGGATGCAATAAGGACCGAAATATGGATGAGGATGGACCTCCCCTTCTAAACGCTGACTTGACATCATTGTTTCTTATATCTCTCATGTTTAAATGAGAAAAACGAGGAAAATATTTAATGAATAATTAGATAACCTCTATCAAAAGGGTTTTGTCAGCAGATTATTGACTCATCTTTTGATATTATAGATCATAGACACTGGACTCTGAGAGACTTACAGTAGAAACACTGTTTCCTCCTGAACTCTGCAGACAATTCTCCATGAGAAAAATACCATTTTTCGTGGAGAGATAGAGGTTTTTATTGATGCTGTGCCTGCACATAAATGCGATGAATAACATCTAGCCCCAGTTTCTTTATCTTATCTGCATCTGTCTTCACTTTAAAATTTTTTGGCTGACATGGCTCATCTCATTTCTCTCACTCGTCTCTTCCCAACGTTCACCCCAGTCTGCTTTGAACCTTAAAGACACACTTAAAACATGTCAGCTCTAGTTGAAAGGATCATATATGAAGTTTGATTTGGGGAATATCCACTTTTAACATTTTAGATGTAAAGGGTCTAAAAGCTATATTTCATTACTCTTTCAAACAGATGTCAAATGAGAACTGCATGGGGCAGCCCTGGTTGGCTGGACAAAGCAAAAAATGAATTAGATATTTTAACATACACCGTGATGTCTTGAAACTAGTATGATTTTTATATATAAACTCTGTATTAATAAGGGTTCTATTTATATTTGATGTGATATGTGTTATTAAGTTTGAGTTTTGTTTTGTCTTTTTTGTTTTTTTGTTTTTTTGTTCAGACTCTTTGGCTCACACTAAAATATCTCAGAAACTGTTTGATGGATTGACACAAAGTTTTGTTGTGAAATGTCTTTTCCCCACAGGATGAATCTGACTTACTTACATATATCCAGTTCTTGTGTAGAGCATGAATATCTGAGGAGAGAAAATGCTTTACACATGTTAAATATCAGGCATAATATATACGTACTTTGAGTGAAATCATAAGTCACAAAAAAAAAACAACCACAGTAAAATTGTACTGACAGTTTCATACACTTTTAATTAATATTAAAAATATCTTTTACAGTATGCATATTAATCTATTAAGCTGCCAATGTTCACAACAGTACAGACAGAGTGGGCCACAAATTATCGTTTAATCAACAGCTAAGCAAAGTTTCACATTCAACTTTTTCTTTTGCCTCGTAACAAACAAGAACAACAGAGTTTCTCATCCTTGGTGTCAGGAAACCTACAGGTGGTTCAATAAGCAGGTGGGGTCATGGGGGATTTCTAAGACTAACAAACAATTTGTTGGATATATTTTGGATTTTTTTGTTTTTTTTATTTAAAATCGCTGTGTACAATCAATACAGAGCTTTCTCTGCCCTCATGAAAATACAATGCAAAAGTAAGCAATTTCACTGACAATGACTTGATAACTCTGATTGCTGGTAACAAGACAATTCTGAGAAATCGAAAATTGTTGAAAAGGCTGAGAAACCCTGAGTTTCATATTTTCTATTTACATCAATAACCCTCCCCAAATAATTTCACCATCATAACTGTACATATTAAGATATGACATAATATCTATGCAACAACATTAACAACACTTAAGCAGCAAAATGGCACTTTTACAAATTGTTACATATGAGCTCATCCAGAACACAGCCCTTCATTCATATTTGTGGATTTGACTTTTGGACTGAATCAACACTGAAAATACTACTTTCACTGTTTGACAAATAACTATTGTACTTAAGAATAGCTCTCAAATGTATTATTTTACACATGCTAAGTGTGGTAAGTCAGACTTTTTTTTAGAGCTCTCACAACTGCCACAACTGTATGCACTGGATGGATTTTGTTGATTTTTTTTGTGATCATAACTGCTCCTGAATTCCTGAAACAACTGCTTTGCAATTTGCCAAATAATCCTACATATCATGCAAACAGACAAGTACAACCAAATATATTTTAAAAAATATTCAAAAGCAACATTAAATAAAAGCACTGTTGAAACAGATACAGAGTAACGCAGATATACAGATTAACAAAAACCTGCCAACTCTACTCCCCTACTTTTTTCCTAGTTAAGGTGAATGCTGTTGGATTTTAACCGTCATATACTTACATTACTGTCTGAATCTGATGCATTCTTCTATTTAACACTTTAGGTTCCAGTCTGCATCCTAATCTGCATCCATGTCGTCAGAGTTTAGATATGACATCAGAAAATCACAGGACATGAGAACAAACAAGAATGAATCACGACAACCCCGGTAACATCTGCACAAATCTTTATACACAAACTCCTCTCTCTTTCCATTTTCTGTACAACAATCATGTACGGTACTGTCTGCTGTTTGTTTCACCCATGCACAGATGAAATCTCAGCTGCTTGGTTTGCTGCATTGATGCACACAGTGAAATTATATCGACCGTGTATAGTATGTATCATCTCGTGTACTGCACTTCTTGTCCTGCACAGTCTCCTTACATTACATGCGATGGGTGTGTTGGTATGTGTGTAATTATAGAGTAGTATTTGCTTCCATGAGCAGCAATTATTTTACGACAGTTACTTTTCAACTTGTTATCAAACAATAGCATATCGGTCTTGACCTATTGAAATTTAGGTGTAGTATCTGACGATGATCCAGTCTGGAAGAAAGAAAATGTTAAAGGATACAGCCGCTGTTTTTCAACCCATGAAAAATGATTTGCATACTGGATATTATCTTCACCAGTCATGTAATGGTGTGTTCAGAAATAAACATTAAGCAGATTTTAATAGAAGTTAATAGAAAGATGTGAGTGAACGCAAAAAAAAAAACATGTGGATTTACACATCCACTGCAGAGACTAGGGTGGAGAGGATGTTCCCCAGAGGAACATCTGGCGTTCATAGGGTCAATGCATGTTGTTAGCTGGCAGCAAATGTCTGTACTGTCACTTCCACTGGCTGTTTGTGTTCATGAAACAAATACTACAAAATCCCTTGTGAGTGAAGCCAAGATGAATTATGCTTTGCATGCCATCTGAACACACCTTTATTACTGAGAAACTATGCAGTCTGCTTCACCCTCTGCCTGCTGGGTGCGATTGTTTAAATATATGTCTATCTGTCATTTTAGCAGGATGAAGGTCACAGGATTGTCAGATATGATTATGTTCAACTGCACAAAACTATTAGGTTTTATTGACTTGGCTACGTAGGTGCAAACCCACAGGTGTGAACCACTGAACTGAAATAGCAGCAAGGTGTGTAAAAAATGAAGCTGTGTAAATCAGTGACATTGGGCTTTGCACAATAATGAATGATGGGATACAACATTTTATTCAGGTCTTGGCAGAAAATTGCAGATATGCATTGCATGGTGATAAAGTTATTTTGATTATTAGCCACTGATGCTTATTCATTGCGGGGCCACACTGGATGGTATCATCTCCCCAGTGGCTGGCTCCTGCTGAGCTCCATCATGTACCATTCTCACACTCACACTGCCACCATCAGTTGTGCTTGGGTTCACACAAAACTTTCTATTACCCGGGTGTACAGCCCTGAGAAACTGCCTCTTGAAGGTCTCGCTGAGGATAATATAGAGGAATGGGTTGATGCAACTGTTAGCATAGCCCATGCTGATGGCTATGTTGTACGCATAGGAGAAAGCGAGGCTTGGCTTCTGCACCCCCAGGTGGACAAGCTGGAGGATGTAGTAAGGAGCCCAGCAAATGAAGAAAGCCAGGCAGATGGCCACTGCCATCCGGGTCACCTTCCTGGTGCGCACCCTCAAACTCCGTGGAGGCAGCGGTGCCACGCTGGTGGCCATGTGTTGCAGGATCTTGAAGAACACCAGGCAGATTATAACTAAGGGTATAGCAAAGGCCAAGAAGAACTGGTAAAGTGTAAACCAGTATGTGTCAGTGACTGGATCAGGCAGGAGGAGCGCACAGGCCACCATGCCATCTGGAAGAGGCATCAGACCTGCATACATCCACACAGGGATGATGGTGAGTAAGGACAGACCCCACATCAGGCCAATGACCAGCGCTGCCACACAGGGTGTGCGGACATAGTTGAAGCGGATGGGATGGACCGTAGCCAAGTAACGGTCGATGGTCATTGCAGTGAGGATGTAAGTGCTAACAATCTGGCTATTGGAGTCAAGCGCAGTGATGACTGTACACATTGTGGCTCCAAAGTGCCACGTACCATTGCCCAGCAACTGGTGGATGAGGAACGGCATCCCAAGGAGAAACAGGAGATCAACAATTGACACGTTTAAGATAAAGATGTCCGGAACAGTTTGTTTTGCACGGCACTTGGTCTTCTTCATGATGGTGTACATGACAATACAGTTCCCCATAATACCCAGAAAACAGATGATGCCAAAAATGACAGGGAGGATGGCACTGCAATGAAGGGTCCCGTCTACAGCTGGAGACAAGAAGAAGAGGGACCAGCAGTTGAATACAAGGAAAAAATATTTAGTATTATCATATGATATCAGCACATTGCATTTAATCATGTTGTATGATATGAAATCTGATATCTACAGGAACAGTATGTGCAAGTGCAAGAGCAGCAGAGTAATATTACCAATATTAATCTGTCAGGGGATTATTATGTAGGGAGATCTATTATCAGACAGTGCATTGACATCTGTCTTGCTTTTAGAATGACAGTTGAATAATTTCAGTGTGGAAATTATTGATTTATGTGCATGCAGGAGTGCGAATATGCGTGCGTGTGTGTTGGCTAGAGGAACAGGTTGCTATGGATATTTAATGTGGAATTATAAACAGAGAAGTCACAATGATACTAAACTAACTCTGCGACTTTGTCATGTTTTAATAGTAAAATAATGTGCCTTAATAGTAGAAGCTTTGAGCAGTGACAAAGTTTAAATTGATATGATGAGGGTCGTCATTTTTCATATTTCTCATAAAATATGACTGTTAGGCTGTTAAGGGCATTCACCGCAGTCAAATTTGCACAATAGGCTACAAAAGCTTGTATGATTGGAAAAAATAGACATATAGAGAAATAGAAGAAAAAATGAAAAGAAAAAACTGTATTCACTTGAATATTTTTTTCTTTTTCTCTTTTCTTTTTTTGCTATTTTAACATGTTGAATGCAGTTATGATTATTATAATAATTATAAACAAGGTGTGAAACGACGTTGTTCTAACGTGGATCAAATGACCGGTGCGCTGGTTGATCAACTTACCGGTTGTTGTTGAACTGTTGTTGTCTCCGAGAGAAAAATTGGAATGGTTATAGAAATCCATCGGTAAAATCTAACGTACATCCAAGTTGAGACGCGCTACCAAATGACTCCTTTAAAAGTAAAATGCATCTAAAGCGAATTCCGTCTAACTCTTTCAAGAGTGACTCCAGAGGCTATTCTAATTGGTTCAATCTTATACAGCATAAGCATTCAGTTTCACTGTGAGCAGATCAGTGCGCTCATGTGCTTGCAGTCATAATAGAGCTGAGCGGCTGAGGAGCTTGTGAGAGAGTCTTCACCTTGAGTCTGGATCACAGTCTGTTGAGTTGCGACTATACTGTGGGTGTCAGTCTAGCTGATGAAAAAAAACAACAACAACAACAAAAAAAAAACACATTAGATCAGATAACTGTCAGACTGCAGTTAAATGTTTGTCTGCGCAAAAGCTCCCTTTGAGACGTTTGATCCAAATACCTTATTTAATCTCAGGGCAAGGTTGGTGGACATTTCTTGTGCTCAGAGATTGAAGAGCATCTATCAGCAATAGAAATAGAATTGAAAAAAAAAATGAAAAAGATACGTATTTGTTTCCACTGTCCAAACGCATCTTTGGAGTATTTATAGTCTGTTTAAATGATACGCCCCACCTCGACAGGCAGTAGCCATCCAGTGAGTTATTTATGAGGAGTAACAGGTGTTACCACTCAAGGACAAAAGAATCCGTCGACTCTAATTCGACTCGAAAATTACCGACAGGTTGGAACTGCCTCCAAACCGCTCCAAGCTGGGCTTTTTCCACAATAAACCACTAGATGGTCCTGCTGCGCCTCATTTGGAGTCCTCACACGTCTCCCTCATGAAAACTGAATGTGACCAAGTGTCATAAACAGTCCCCTGGAAAAACTCAAGGCACTTATGCACCCTTGCAGTGATTGGTTTAGCAACTCGGAGGATTTATTGTCTATTGTGATTTGAATTGAAACGTGGGAGGAAATAAGATTATACATTTTGTGTGTGTGTGTGTGTGTGTGTGTGTGTGTGTGTGTGTGTGTGTGTGTGTGTGTGTGTGTGTGTGTGTGTGTGTGTGTGTGCGCGCGCTGTCCTTAGTTTGGGCAAAATCATTTCTGCTCCATCAATTTTTGCTCCTATTCTTCCACTCAACTATGGAGTCAGCAAATCAAAAACACTCCAAGTTCTGACTGATGCTCCTACAAATGCTGACCCTGTGTGCGGGATCGTTTTCAAATGAAATGAACATGAATGTGTGTGTCCCCTGGGGGCCAAACGGTTACAGCACATGCAACGTTACTGCAACATCCATGGAGCAGTTCTGGCCCGGGGGCCTTTTATTGCATGTTGCACACTGCTCACCCACACTCCCCAAATTTCCTGCCTGCATCTTCAAAATCAGCTGTCAAATAAAGGCAAAAAGCACAAAAAAAAAAACGAATTTTTAAAGTCAAAGAAGAAAAACACCAGGCACACTCTGCAGCTCCCCATACTCACTCTAACCCTTGTGTTTATCATTCAGAGACAGTCCTCATGTGAGCACACAATAACCTAATCTCATCTTTAATTTTTCCTAAAATCCCCCTCAGTTTATCGGCCCTGTTTACACATGATCAAATATTGTGACTAGTGTGACCGTCTCTCATGCCTTCCGTCGCATTTGCATCGCTTTATGAGGCTGTAGCATTATTTTGGATGGTTACACTGGAGCGAAATCCAAATTCCTTCACTTGTAATTGCATTTTTAGCTCTTTCATCTGCTTCTATGTACCCTTCTCCTCTCGCCCAAAGCCTAATTTGAACCAACTTTATTAATTTTTGATGTTGTCATTAACAGTTTCTATTTGGTTTTCCATCATTTAATGTGATAGTGGCTTCTGTGGATCACTGCACATAGCTCTTTCATTTGGCTTGGTTCCCTCAGAGTGCAAACATGATAACAGTGAGCTGAGCCATATGTACTAAAACCTGGTCAGTAAGTCTCAGTCCCTGCTTGATTTAGTTTGTAAATGCCACCTTCCCACTGAGTGGATGCCTAGACTAATTAATCATTAGGTGTTTTCGTAGACTGAGTCATCCAAGACCTTTAAACCAAATTTAAAATGCCACTCTTTTAGCTATTGAGGGACATTACGTCACTACGCTGGTGGACTCATTTAGACTCCATTCTCCTTGACCTCGGCTTTTAAGGCAGAGATCTTACTTCTCACTGAACCCCACAGATTTCTTTGTGCTAATCAAGGAGATGTTCGAAAAAAAGGAGTCGTGTTTACAACTCAGACGTTGACATGAATTAAATTAAATTAAGCTGTTTACAAGTTGGAAACTGGTGATTATGATAACTTTGATATGACAAGAATGGAATGTGTTGGGTTTTACTCATGCTCATTCGTCTGCATGTGGCTCTCTCTGCCTGCAGTAAAATCGCCATCCATGGTTCACAGAGAGATTATGTTATCCATTTCCTTATCAGATCTGGAATAAACACAAATTAGCAAAAGCATTGCTTCCAGAAAGTTTGCTTCTTCAGCACTGCCAGACCTGTAAAAGAACGCTATACGCAGGATCCCAAGACAATCAGAGTAGCAATCTGCTCTTGTTTTTAGCTTAGCTGTGAGCATATATAGCAGTGCTGACTACACACACACACACACACACACACACACACACAAAGTATTGAAAATGGTGCAATGAGTAAAGTTTCAAGGTTAGCCAGTACTTCTGTAGTCATGCCCCTGAGTCTGACAATAACATCAGATGAAACTTTTCATGTCTCTGTGCTGACAACAGCCATGGAGGAACGCCTAGAGGGAATTTCATTACATCTGGCACATACATCCACTTGGACCCAAGGATTAGAATTTAGTGGTCAAAGGCCAAAGGTCAAGGTCACTGTGAACTGACAAATCTCTTTTTTGGCTAAACTCATAAATTCATATGCAAATTGTAACAAAATTTCATTCAAATGTTTAATAGGATAACACTTTTTTTTCACAGCCTTAGGCAATATACAAGATTTGTGCACAAAAACAAGTGAAAATAATTAGCAAGGTGAAGAAAGATATCCCTGAGTACCATTGTTGTAAACATGATGTGTTATTCATTGATTTTGACAAGGATATGATAGACAAGATCAGTATCACTGGTAATGATGCCCTCTCTGCAGAAATTATTGACGAAGGTTTTAGAGCTAACGTGTGGCAGCCCATTAAAAGTAGTAGCTGCACTGTGTTTCAGATAGATTCACTCCTGTGTGATGGTACACCAAGTTGTACCACAAGCAGCAGCCCAATTCTCGTTTTTTAAGCTCAGAAAAAGTCGCCGAGAAGTTTTCCATTTGCAGAGGCTCAGTGAGGGAGATGTGAAACGTGTAGTAGCTGACATTACATAACAGTATCATTTATTCAAGATTAACTGGTCCTAATGTGAAAGTCACTGTCGCAGTTTTTTTCCATGGACGTCAAAGCTAATGCCGACTTTAATAAGATAAGAGCATTACCCGAGTTTGAAGCGTGGTACCACAGTAAAGGTAAGTCACTGGTCATTTTTATGGGAAAAACTAAAAAATCAAATGCTTATATGAATAGTTACTTTAAATTAGTTTAAGGTTTATTCTACTCTCACTTTTGAATCTGTTCTTGCCTATTCCACTTCGCTTAAACTTGCTGTAATGTAATGCATTTTCTTTTCGAATTGATGTGGACAAAACATTTATCAGTTCTGATATCTTATTTAAATTAGGTATACTGTGTTTACAAAGTTAATATGGCAGATACTGCAATGCAGATACAATAGGCTTTGCTGTATAATTTTTCCAAAGGTAGGCTATACATTGTACAATTATAATTATAATTATTTTCCCTAAGATATTAACTACTGATCCATGAATTGACACAGGGCGGAGTTTAAAACAACCTAGTATATGGCTGGACCGCCTATGGTCCAATCCTGATTTTATAACTGTAACGTAGTCTGATTTAGACAGAGATAGACAGGCTTTTGTTCGAGGCAGGTCTTTATTTATAATTTGCTCTGTAGAATTGTTCATAGTGTGCTTAGTGCAAAGCCTATTTCTGTTGCAATTAGCTTCTCTCTCTCCTTCTCATTGATGTTTAGCTATTCCTCTGTCTCCTTTTGTGATAGTACATGTAATGAAAGTAGTTTATTTGCTGTAATGGAGTTGAGGCTCCATTACAGCAAAGCATAATGGAGCGCTCCAAATTTATCAATGCTGATATAACGGCCTGCCCTGGAATCAAATTTCTCCTAATTTCTCCAACTATCAAACATCTGAAACAATGACTTAGGACAGCATATACTAACAAATCAACACAAAGGTAGCTTACACAATCTGCTGATAAGATAAACAAATAACCATCAAGAAAAGCACAGCAACTTTTTGTAAGCCTATACCATATAAATGAATGGATCATGGCACCAGGTCACACAATCACCTGCATTTATAGAATTCATCATTCATTATCAATGGCACAGAGCCTCGGGGTGGTGCAACGGTTGCACCATAAATATTTACGCCAGTGATTTGAGGGTCTGTCAGAACTACTCTTTCCGCACACATCAGTTATTACAGTAAGAGTCAGTTTGTTAGAGTGATCCATCTGGCCAATTTACAACTTCCTTCAGGCTGATGTGACCATGGTCTGGGCCTGCTTAGTAAAGCATGCACTTTCCAGTTTGGCACTACTAGACTAATACTCTGCTCTGATTATTTAAGGGATAGTTACTAATTGAGAAAGACAACTGGAGCAGAGATATAACAGAAGCACGCAGGGACGAGGAAACATAAGAATATGTTGAAAGCCAGACATCTCAGTTTGGCTTTTTGTGCCCTTGGAAGAAATAAATGCAGGTAATGGCAGCTGCTGTTTAAATTGCAAGAGGCTTGTCTACACAGGTTTGTGTGCACACACACACACACACACACACACACACACACACACACACACACACACACACACACACACACAGCTGTGCATATCCTGGCTGATACACTGACCTTGGCTTTTTGTGACACTCACGCACTCTGTCTGTCACTCAGTTTGTTAGTAAATTAAAGTGG